CCCCCCCGACACTGGACACATGGGTTCCCTCGGGCCTGGGAAGTATCCTGGGCATGTCCCAGGAGCCGCTGCTTGCAACCCAAGGGGGGGATGCAGGGGCACACCCTCACCACGGCCCGTCCCTTGCCACACCGTGCTCCCCCCTCCCCGTGCTTCCTCTGCCACAGCCCCCAGCTGCTCACCAGGGCCCTCCCCAGGAGGCAGCGGGTGGCTCAGGGCCCCGCAAACATGCTGTGACCATCCTGCTCGAACTAGTCTTTGACAAACTAATAAAATAAAGGGATTTGTACATTGCTCCAGCCTCTTCTCAACCATTGCTTTCCTGGGGCCCCTCACCAGCTTCCTCACCCCTCCAACCTGTCAAGGCTGTGACCTGGCAAGCTCATCACACTAGGGGAGAGACTACCCTAGGCAGCATCCAAGCCAGGCCACCGCCACAGGTGGCTCCCAGAGCCCTGCTCAGCCCAGATGTCCATGCTGCAGGCATCCTCACCAGGGCTGGGACAAAGCCAAAAGTGTGCTGGTGAAGGACACGGCAGGAGGGCTTGTGCCCCTTCCCCCTGACTCTAGGACTACCCGCACAGAATGACTAGGGATACACCAGGGGTACAAGGGCTGTTTCTGGTGGGTAACAGCCTTCTGTCCCCACAAGAGCAGTGGCAGACCTCATGAGCCCTAGAGAGGCAGAGCTCCAGGCAGTGCCCAGGCTTGGTACAGTGCTGGAGGCCTCTGTTCAGAGCCAGCTCCAGGTTTGACTAATTTGACATCATTTACCAGCAAAGAGCTCAGCTGTTACCCAGGCGGCATCAGCAGAGCAATCACCTGGAAAAGCTCCTGTCAGAAGGAAATATTAGGTAGGAAATGATAGAGATTGTGCAGGCAAGGTCTCCATCACAGGCAGCCTGCACCTGCACCTCCTCTGCAGTGACCGTCCCCCCCGTAACCCAGCATGCAACCCTACGGGGAAAGAAAGCTCCAGGGCTCTCCCTGGGGAGCGGGGACGGAGGAAGCACTACTTGCCACCCTGGCAAGGGAGCAGGGAAGGGCTCTGCCCAGGGCCAGGGGCATGGGACTGATGGAATCTTCTGCTGGAGCCACAGCCCTGCTCCATCCATGCCGGGTGCTGCAAGGCCAGAGCAGTGCTACAGGACCGGAACAGGTCCCCACCGCTGTCCCCATCCTCTGTGCAGTGTCCCCGGTGTCGCTTGTCCCCATCGTGGGGGCGCAGCGCCCTCTGGTGGGGTGACAGCGATAGACAGGGATAGCAGAGACAGGCAGTAGGGACAAGGGGGACAACCTCTCGACACAGACCCCTCAGCCAGGACCTTGCCATGGCCAAGGGGAAAGAGGCAAGAAAAAGGAGAGGGAGCTCACAAGAGAGCAGCTCAGCATTCCCCATCTTCCCACGCAGCAGCCACAGGCACCTTCATTATGGAAGAGGATTTATCAAAATTACAAAAAAACAACCAAACATACAAAAAAAAAAAAAAAAAAGCCCCAGATGGGGAAACGTCCCCCAGCTTTCATCCCCCCACCTTCCCCTTGCTGCCCCAGTGTGGGGAAGGGACACAGGATGTCCAGGAGAGGAAGGGGCAGGCTGTGCCCCCAGGGCTGCCCTCACCATCAGGCTGTCAGGCACAAGGGGACAGTCACGTAGCTCATCACTGCTGGGGAGCCTGAAGTCCTCTCTCGGGTGGCTCCTCAACAGTCACCTCCAGTGACTGACTTTCTTTGGCCACTTGCCTTTGGAACAAGCCCCCCATGCCCCAGAGAGGAGGCAGCAGCCCTCAGACCATAAGGGGGGCTCTGCTAGCATCCCCCCTATGCTCCCCAGCACACAAGCTGCTCTGTTATAAAAGCTCCTGAGAGTCACACACAGAGCTGAGCCAAATGCTGCAGCACTGCCACGCAGACAGTGCTTGTCCTACACTAACTAAGCACTCTCCTCCCATCCCCGAGAGCAGGGGGGTGTTGCCTCCCCTGGTGTGGTTCCATTAGGAGTCATTGGGGAGCCCAAAGAGCTTGACGGTGCCAGCCTCACGGCTGCTGTCGTATTTGCCATCC